GTCTGTGCATGTGTCTGTGCGTGTGTCTGTGTGTGTGCATGTCTGTGTGTGTGCGCATGTGTCTGTGTGTGCATGTGTGGTGTGTCTGTGCGTGTCTGTGTGTGTCTGTGCATGTGTCTGTGTGTCTGTGTGTGTGTGTCTGTGTGTGTGCATATGTGTGGTGTGTCTGTACATGTGTCTGTCTGTGTGGGGAGCAGTGGCGTAGCGGTTAGCACGCTGCGCTACGAACCTGGAGACTCGAGTTCAATTCCCGCTCACGTGCCAACACCAGTAGTGATTATCTGAACCGATCCTGGGCCCTCCCCTAGGTCGCCTCAGCTGCAAATGAGTACCTGGCGCAGTGTGTGAACATCGCCACTCGGGAGACAAAGGTGTGGTACTGGCCACCCACTCCCGCACGTGCTGTTTCGGCCTTCATAGGTGCTCGATAACAGCACGTGCCCCAACAGTCTGTGAAGGCTACACGGGGAGCTTTTGTGTTTGTTCCCTGCGTCTCTGTGCGCGCGTGTCTGTGTGTGTGTGGGGGTTAGCGCTACGCTGTGCTGTGAACCCGGCGAGCCGAGTTCAATTCCCGCTCACGGCCACCAAGACCAGTGAGGATTATGTGAAAATACCACTCCAGTCACGTCGAAATATCATGATCAGGACATCGGCCATGACCTATCCACTGCTGAATGAAGGCCTCCTCCTCCAGGCGCTGCCATCTCTCACGGCAGTGTAACAACCCACCCAGACACCTGAACGGATTTCATCGCTTCATTCCCCTCGGACGCGTTTCACTCCTTGGCAGAGAAAAGTCGTCTTTTAACACAAAATACTTCTCCGTAAGAACAAACACAACGATTACAATAAACAGATAAAGTGTTGTTGAGCAGACATCTTTCTTTTTATTTCTGAAAACCTTTCGAGAATGCACGTGTAATTGTCTTCAGCCGAGGACAGAATACCCATCCTGTATGCAACACTCCCAGGGTGCACAGCTCATTAACGGCAACTATATTTACCCCAACGAAATATCATACCAGAGGCAACGAAGGCACGCCAAACTAAAGCAACGGTAAACAACAGTGAAGAGCAAATTAAGCCACACACACGGAGGCAAATGTCATCAAGTCCATTAAATATTTGGTAGGTATGCACTCCAACAGCACTATTAGGAATACATTGCTGAGAAAAAACGTAGGGAATTCATCAAAGTCAAAAATGTGGAGGCCGATATCTCTGCTATGACCGAGCAGGTCATTAACGTAGACAAAGGCTGCCTGATAACAAAAAAGAAATATCTGTGTTTAATATTTCCACCACATTAAGTGAAAATCTTCAACGGAAAAAAATCAGCTCTGCGACACCAATACCGACTCAGCTGTCATAGTACGAAAGAGGTCACCACTGATATGAAATTCAAACAGCTAGCTCAAATAAAAAATAAATCTCTTTTTCGGTTCACTTATTCCATGAATGGCAGCCTTCACACCACAGTATTCTAACAAGACGGCGATTGTGGCGGTTGCGAACGCGACGGCTGCAACACCAACACATCCATTCCCTTTGAAGCCGTGTGTGCAAATTCTCTGTAGGTCGGCAAAGTAAAAGGGTGCGCAACTCTGCTGTTACTGGGTTTGAGAAAAACAAATGCAGTTGGGTCTGAGAAAGTTTCACAACAACGCCATGAAAACATCAGCTGTGCGTCCGCACCCCCCCCCCCCCTCTCTGGCCATTCTCTGTAAGACTTCGAGGTAAAACACTAGGCCCCAAGGGGATGGACTCGGCCCACGGTCCATCTGGAGTGAATAAAACAAAGTGACCCCCCCTCTGCGTGAGAGAGGTCAACATCGATCGTCGCATCAATAGATCGGACCCTGTCATAGTGATAGGAACTTCCACCACCGGCCAAGGGGCTGGCCAGCAGAGACGAGCGAGGAGACGCCGACTTCAACGGCTGGGGCTCGCATTCAATTTCATTGCTGTGGCCATCTTTAGTTTAGCGATCGTAAATATTTAACGTGGTCACAATTAACCAGGTTGGTTGTGTCCGCATTCCCTTTCAACATTCAACAAATTAAAGCTGTTTATAAAAATGCTTGTATACTTGCAGTACTCTATAGCAAAAAATGCAGGAATGTTCAACATCTCAGAACGGATCTTTAAAAAAAGTACATTTTACATGTCATACATTCATTACCTCTAAGTAGGGGTTCGGGAAGGAATGCGGAACAGAATTATAGACTGAAAAAAATGATTCGACATTTCAGGCACATGACTGGGGGAAGAAGAACAGAATGTGGAATAAAAATGAATATTTCGTGAACTAACAATCAAGGGGAAAGAATGATCAATGGCACGACAATAGATTTGATATAACAGTGGAATAAAACATACATTTCAATAGTTTTTATTTATTACAAACACAATCTAGGAATGTTCCGAACATTGCCAATGTATATAGATTCTTAAAATGTCAAACCTAGATAGATTTTTCTTCTTCAAAATGACTTGATAGCATTAAAACACACGTCGTTTAAACGTGGCGATGTACTATGGCGTACATCGAATATTCCAAAATCCAAACAAGTTGCTCATTATACCCACTACCAGGACTGTCTTGGCTGAGTGGCATTTCTCCGTAGCTGCACCAGGCATTTGGAACTCTCTCTCTTCCACTGCATGTACGCAGCAGCATCCAAGCACCTTCAAGCAGCAGCTCAAGGCTCACCTGTCCAGGTTCTCACCGAAGAAAAATAAAAACACATCTGGCTTCGATCCGGGTGATCTCTCTAAACCTTCACCGCATCTCCCATTCTCTCTGCGAAAGTCCTTGGAACGGGCTGCAGCGCAACGCATTGACACTCATTTGACATCTGACGACCTTCTGAAGCATTTTCAATCGGACTTCCGGGCGGGCAACAGTAAGGAGATGTAATTGGTTCGGGTAGTGAATGACCTCCAGTCGGCTGACAAGGGGGCTCAATGATACACGAGTCCTTCTAGACATAAGTGCTGCATTTGACTCCATCGATCACCAAATTTTCCTCCACCGCCATGAAAACCTTCATGGAAATTTCTGGCTCAAGCCTGATTTTGCTTCAATTCTTTCTAACAACCAGAACCCAATGTGTCTCGCAAAGTGGCTTCACACCAACCATTGAACCAGTCCTGTATGGTGTCGCACAGGCCACCGTCCTTGGACCCCAGATTTTCAATATTTACCAAACATCTCTGGGTTCACTGCTTTAGCACTGATGTATCGTTGTTACGCAGACAAGACAGATACATTTTCTCCTACCTCCTCTTCCCCTGATCCACTACAGACTCACAACTCACCATTTCTCTATCATTGATAAAGTCAGAAAATAATTGAACATTGCATCCGATTAGCGAAATATGCGCATGTTATAAATTGTGATGAATGCATATAGTGCAAATTATACGGTTGCCAATTAAAATAAGTGAATTGATGATTTCAAAACACTCGCGCTAAAGGTGCCTTTGTTGTGGCTTGGAACTTGACAGGTGTTGATGGCCAACACACTTGCACTGTTTTTTCACGATTAACTTTCATCAATAATCCATAGCGAGTTATACAACTGCCAAAGAGTGTAATAAACTTCTGATACTTCCAATTGATATACTCTCATGCCATTTATAATGCCTACGCAGTACAACTTTGCTAATGCTCCATATTGAAGGCGCAAATCAGAACATGACCGGAAACACATACGGCTATAAAGAGTTCCTTTCTAAATCCTGTGATGTAATTATCGACACGGAGAAGCCGGTGGAGTGGAGGCTCTTCAGCAGGTCGGTGGCTCGTCAAGAGCGACGAGACACAAAGCACAGAGGCCGCAACGCGCTTACAAGTGACATGAAACCTGCTGCCATTGAGCCACAAATGTCACATGGCACAAAGTGCATTAAGTGAGCCACACGGTTCGATTTAAATGGTGATCTACATTTGTAGGCTCGTGCCACGACTCTTGTGCCGGCCAAAGAGGACCCCAATGCCACCCAATGGCGCGAGACGTGGTGGGGAAACGGTGGAGTCCAAAACGAGAACAGGACCGAAGAACAGATGAAGGTACAGCCCCGGTTTCACTTTGCTGGCCCAACCAGTGAGGACCGCTCTCAACTGCGTCCCAACAACAACACAGGGAAGGTGGTGTATATATTTCCTCCATAAGTGGAAGATGATGTACTCGCCAAACTGCGAATGCAGTGAGATGCAAACAATCGGGCGTAAATCACTGATGTCTGTCGATACAATACGCATATTCTTGTGAAACTAGCAGACTCCACTCAGCTACCCTGATACAACACGTGTACTCTGGTGGAACTAGCAGAATCCACTCAGCTACCCTGATAAAACACGTGTACTCTGATTGAACTAGCGGACTCCACTCAGCTACCCTGATACAACACGTGTACTCTGGTCGAACTAGCATAATCCACTCAGCTACCCTGATACAACACGTGTACTCTGGTGGAACTAGCAGAATCCACTCAGCTACCCTGATATGACACGCGTACTCTGATTGAACTAGCAGACTCCACTCAGCTACCCCGATGCAATGTGTACTCTGGTGGAACTAGCGAATTTTCTCATAAATCAACATATAAACACGTGTAACACACACGCCGTAGCTCACCTCCACCCATCTCTCTGAGCTCGTCTTAATGTTGTCCTCCACAAGCTCTCTGGTCAGGCAACCGAGGCCTTTTCGAAATCCGTCCATCAACCTCTGTGTTACGAGTGCTCACTTCTCTGGAACTCCCTCCTCCTGCTCGACCGTCCTGCCAACCACTTCCCCGTGATCCCAGACTCATGACGTCAAAGGTTGCTTTCTCTTCGTACAATGGGCCCAGTGCTACTGTGCGTGTTCAGTCTCTCCTCTCCTAATTCTGTAGAGAATATATTTTTGACCCTGCTGCACATAATCCACGTATCAGCGTTGCTCGCAACTCAGGCATTACATTTTACGAAAGATATACACCATATTCACGTGAAATATTTAAGCAATACTTTTATCGGATTAGCACAAGGACTTTGAATTGAATACAAAAATACATCCCAATTCACTCAAGATTACAAAACATATTTTATCCTAGGCTGGTGCGAATTCAAACGAGACCGTGGTTTAGGCTCCGACCACCATGGCCAGCCGTTGGACACAAACGCTACGCCCAGTCAGAAGGCCGAGGGCTTCAAATATAGATCAGGGAGACAAATTCAACCTATTCCCGAGTGGGGGAGGGGGGTCAGTAAATTCAGTAGCACTTTGTAAGATGTCCACAGTAGTTGGTTGTCCAAGGGAGGACTGGTGCTTGTCATAGGAATGTGCAATTTCCATCACTGACTCGGGGCTGCCAACAGTGATGAGCACTGCGCGAGCGTAGAGGCACTTTAACCAATATGTCCTTAGTGGAGTAGCTATTACCCACACGCTCTCCTGATCCTTGTTCTCACTGGTGACTTTAGTAATTTTGGCTGCAATGTGGCCATTGTCTCCAGCGATCCACCCAAGGTCTCCAGTATCCGTGGGGGAGCAGGGGGGGCGGCGAGGATAAGTGGACACGGCGTGACATGTCCCTTCATGGGCATTAGAATGCTTTTTAGCCACCGGCTGGCTGAGGGGTGAAGGTTCAACAGGTTCTTGACCTTGCCGTGTGATGGATCATCATAAACCGTGGATAACTGGGGAAAGGAGACCCGTGCTGAGTTGCACAATTGTAATTGTGTACTTCGGAATGAATCGCGGTCACAAAGCAACTGACATTTCTAGTAAACAATCGTGCTGTATAAGTATACGAGGGCCAAGGACTTGTTGGGAATGTTTCGAGCGGTGCCGCTGCAGACCTCTGGCAAAAGCTGGAGCCTCCAGTTAAAACGGTGAAATATCCCCACGAGTGCGAGCCGCGTCGCAACTTTCGCATGCCGCCCAACGCCCCAAGCTGAATGAGATCTCGGACAAGGGTCGGCTCACTTCCGTCTTCCCTCCAGGGTCCATAAATTGTGTACCATTTTGCGGCAAAAGTTAAAGAAAGCAACTGCAATACTGCATGAGCAGTGGTGCAAGAGCATATTGAACGAAAGCTGCGCGTAGCTTTCGAATCACAAGGAGTTCAATGAAGATATAACATTTTCACTTCAGCGTCAATGAAAATGAACTCCTGCATCTATAAGTAAAACATGTCTGCATGTTAAACTTCCGTTTGCACCGTACGTAGCCAAGCGTGCAAATCGGAGGTGCGGGGGAAGGACAACAAACAAAACACAAAAAACTGTTCGAACGCAATGAGTTTTCATTCTAGATTTAAAAGTGCACAACATCACCCGCATCTAATGAGTGGCCTCAATTAAATTGTGCTGTGGGAGTTACAGAGAAGCCCGCCACACATGTAGCTCATCCACAGATAGCTGGGATATACAAGGGCGATCCATTTATAGCGCCCCACTTATTTGTAATCAACCTTTTACTTTATTCTCAAAAGGCGTGATTGAACTGTTGTGAAATGATGGCTCTGTTATTATGTTAACAAATGGTTGTTTACCCAAGAGGGCTTCACCGAATCTCAGGACTCGTTTTTTTCCAGAAGGTCCTGCCAATTTGTCACGGCAGGGGTCGGTGAGTGCCGTGTGTATACTCCAACCAAGTAATCCGCGGCAGAATTCCTCAAATTTGGCAAATTTGCACCATGACCGCCGGCACGCAATTGAATGATGTCACGGGATCCTTAACAATCACTGTGACGCATGAGGGCTTGTAAGTATTTCTACAATTAATAACACCTTGAAAGCGGTTGCCAGTTATATTCTTCATAATTTGCCAGTGTGGACTGTAGAGGAATGTGATCGAGCTGTAACTCACATGGTCGGGTTTTGCGGAAGAGGCCATCGTGCTCTGACACTTGCTACTAAATGTCCGGTGCCCAATCATTAACCAGGGCGGCCGCTAGATTCGAACGTGCGACCGCTGGACCCGAATGTGTGACCACTGGACCGTGTCACCTCGCGACTCACAGGGGAACAGGAAGGAAAGGTGGTAAGCGTCTTGGGATTGGTGCGAGACACGTATGCGGCCTTGAATTAAAATACAGTAGAACCCCTCTTAACGACGGTAATTGGTTTTATGAAACCGGTCGTTAAGTGATGTGGTCGTTAAGCGAGTCTAGGAAATACACGTTAATGGCTTAATTCCTTCCGATAGCATCGAAAGTTACCCTTTTTCACCCAAAAAACGGACTTGATAATATTTAAACAATGGATATTAATGCACAAAGATACTAACATTATAAACACATATTAAAGGAAACATGGTAAATCAATGGATTCATTAATATTTACTGTAACTAAAACAGCCCGTCGTTAACAGAGAAATAGTCGGTAAGCGAACACTGTGCTCTAGAGGCCTGTCGTTAAGCGATTCGTGGTTAACTGGGGTGGTCGTTAAGAAGGGTTCTACTGTATAGGTTTTTTCCCTTACCTACAACATCTCCCCTAGTATTTTAGTGGGGTAATTATAAATGGATCAACCTTTAAAAGGCATATAACGGAAAGAAGAGAGTTGTGAGCAGATGTAAGGGGCGAGAGGGAGCGACCGGGCCATTTTTATACTTGTTAGTTTGTTTTCTACGACCGCGAAGTTGATGTTTTTTTGCGAGCGAGCCCGGGGGCGCGTCACCGCTCACTCGCACTGCTTGCGGAACTCCCCCCACGCGTGGAAGCAGCGCGTGAAGTACAGCGTCTCGTTGCCCTTGCGCACCAGCTTGAGCTTGCGCGGGCGGCTCGTGTCCTTGCTGCGCATGTTCTGGATGTACACCTGCAGAGGCGACATCGCAGTTTCCATTGCCGCTCCTGCCGCCGCCACCACCAAGCACATGTGGGTACGCGTGGACTTTTTCAATTCATTGCGGGATGAGGGCCTTTCGATATGGGGTAATTTGACCATACTTCACCATGTCGGTCAGTGTGGGCTGGTGAAGGGCAAGCCCGGAGACAGTGATGTGGAAGCATAGAAGTACAGTATCACAATGTATTGTGCCAAGCTGCCCACTACACAAGCCCCGCGTGTACGATTCAAACCTGCTGCGCAAGGTGGTCAACCCAACAGAGCACTATCCTGGCTCAAGCGTGCTTATCTTGCGAGATCTGAAGACATCAGGCGCTTATGACCAAATCACCACAGCTTGGCATATACAGTAAAACCTTGGATTGCGAGTAACTTGGTCTGCGAGTGTTTTGCAAGACGAGCAAATTTTTGTAAATAAATATTCATTTGATAAACGAGCGAGGTCTTGCAATACGAGTAGTACGTGTATACGCTTTGTCTGCCGAGCGTCACGTGATCACAACTGATATACGAGTGCTTTGGATTACAAATACGTTTCCGGAACGAATGATGCTCGCAATCCAAGGTTTGACTGAATGTTGAACTTCTTTTGCACCGTCCATAGCCAACCGAGCTACGGTGAGGAGAAAGGGCTGTGAGAGGAGTGGTTCTTACCTGAACGGCCTTCAGGCTTAGCTTGATCTCCACCTGGCTGGTTTGAGTGCCCACCCACATGTAGACCTACACAGAAGGAGCTCTGTGTTAGAGAGTCACTTGCAACACCATGTGAGACTAGGTTCTAAGGAAAGCTGTCTCGGGTGCGGACCAATCAACTTCAAGGACAGTGCATACATTATCAGAGTTGTGTTTTTTGTTTGCATTCCGACTGCAGGTATTGTGGTTAATGCAAACATGACTTCTTGTAAAAAAGGTGTCAGTTTTGTTGCCAAATAAAAGGGTAAAAAAACAATTATCATATGTTGCTACTGGCAAATGAGGTTCCAATGGTGAGAGAGAAGTTTGTGTAGTTTTGCAATTCCTCGTGCGATGAAGGATCACACACGACAGAGAGATTTACCATGTGGTCCATAGTTTGGTTTGCATGGCCACAATCGTACTCATGTGGTTGGCCTCTACAATGTACCTCTACGAGTCTCTCTGCGTGTCTCTATCGGTTCATTGATTGGTTTATAGTTTGTGTTGAATGGCCAGTCACACTGTGGCTTGTTTTTAAGGCACGCTTGAATTATGTGAAGTGCTATACAGTGTTGTTTGTCTCGGGGAATGAAAGCGACGCATCAGGTTTTGTGGTTGGCCGTGGTTTTCGGGAGGAGTGGTGCGACGCATTGGAGGGACGGCGTGGTGTTACCTCTTGGCCGTTGTCAAGCAGCATGATGTCGTCATCTGCCAAATCGTCTTGACAGAAGTCGGAACACTTCTCTGACACGGCAAAGTAGCCCTTCTCATTGGAGCATCTGGAACCCAAAAACGAGGACACAAGATAATGAATTAACCATAACAACTGCACACGCAGCTAAACACGCTGGTCTATCCCCATCTAGGGGCTAAACCTTAACCACAAGTACAGAGCATCGCTGAACCTTAAAGGGGAAAAAAAAGTAGAGCATCTTGGCATTCCGAGAGCGAGTCTGTGCAGTGTCCGAGTTGCCCTATGAATGATTTTTTAAGGCACTTTTTTCCCATGCTCAGAAATGAATTGGGTTTCATATCCTAAGCAGCTCTGGAATATTCGAAGACGATGAGAGCCTTCAGCCGAGCGTGCGGATGAGGATTTTACGTCAAATTAAAATGTCACTCCCTCCGGAGTCTGTCTGTCTGCCACGAATAATTGCAACCAAATGGCACGAGAGCAGCTAGAAACCCCATTCGCCACGCCTAACAAATGTCATTACAGCCATTACCTTCCAGTAAATTATTTAAGTGGTATCTGACATATGGTTAACGATGCTCGTAAAAAGGCGTTTCTTGCGTTTCTGCCCACTGTTGGAATAGAACCGAGCAGGTTTAGGGATCTGTCACATTGATGGATAGGTGTTAAACATTCATCAGATAATAAGCTTTCCAGATTCATATTTCACACCAACATGCTGGAGTGCAAGCTCGCACACGCTGATATTTCGGCAAGGATTTTTCAATGTGGACTCCAAAAAAAGAGATTTTTAGATGAGAAAGTCAATCCCCTGCACAATGCAGCCGAGTTCCTATCCTCTACAGCAGTGGTTCTCAACATCTCTGGGCCCCTGTCAACAATCAAGATTATTTTGTGGCCAACGGTGCGCCGATAACACATTTTTCTGAGTGAAAAAGGAATGTTTTTGTTGCTGTAATGTGTTCATTAAACAAATCCATGACAATGATCAACTTGCTTTTCATTGCCTAATCCGAATAGTTGATTAACGGCCAGTAAAATATATTTATTTATTTTGTGTAAACAAAAATTGTAGCGGACCACATCCGACGGCGGGCCTTGTGGACGAGCAGTGTCTGCACGGAGCACACAAAATACCACATTAGAGGGGAGCGCCACAGCCCTGGAAGAGCAAGCGGCCCCAGAAGAGCAGGGCTGCCCGAGCAGGTATTCACGCGCTCGGCGCGAGCACTCACCTGAAGAGGCGTGCGTACTTCATGTACTCGGCATCCTCCTCGTAAGGCTTGCTGCCCCCGATCCCCACCCAGAAGAAGTTCTCCGGCTCCTCTCCCTCGTCCACCACCTGCGGGGAAGGGGGGGGGCCCACGACAGGGAGGTTTGTGGGACAAACCCTGAGCGCCATAACGCATGCGCACAACCTTGCATTGAGAGCACCAGCCGCCAAATCAAAACATTTCAACGTTACGGCCACATTATTTTAGCCAGCGGCGGAACAACGAGACAACTGTGAACCAGTTCCATATTCGCCATGGAACCTCGTACCTCCGATTAGCATGGTTGGCTATGCACGTTGCAAAAGATGTTGAACATACATACATTTTTATGAATATACATTGTGATTGCTTTGTATGGGCTATCCACAACCGACCAGCGGAACAGTGTAAAGTATTTCTGGGGCTGCATCCTTCGGTCAAAAGCCACAGAGCGAGAAACACAGGCGGCTGCGGCACGACGGACAGCTGGAGAGCAAACCTGCTTGCTGTAGTCGCTGCTGAACATGGTGTTCATTATTTCCTCCGCCAGCTTGGCCTGATCTGGGTCAGCGGCACGGCCAATCCAGGCGTACACAATCCCTGGGCTGTCCTCGCTGTTGAAAGGAACCTGCAATGCATTTGTGCGACAAAAAAAAAGATGCATTTGTTTATTCGCAGAAGCAATTGAGAAATGTCCTTTTAGCAAGTAAATGTTTATATCTGGCGTGGCGCACAGATGGTTGCTGTGGCCAGAACTACGCATCAAGACTGGACATCTTTGTCTACTCTGATGTCCATTATTACGCATGTTTATCCAGGAAAGCCTCAACGACTCAAGCGACTTTTTTTTGGGAGGATCTTGCCACCCCTCCTTCTCCCCTTGTTGTCCTCCCCACTCGTACTAATGCCTTCCCTGTCCACAACTCCCCATGGCCACCCATCATCAATCCACTCATCACATTTCCATCTCCGTTTATTCCACGCATCGTCACCACCACTTCATTTTAAATATAGCCCATCCACTCATCTCATTTCATCTCGCCAACCATCTTGTACCATAGTTAGTTTAATGTACAGCGCTTTGGTTAAGGTGATGAATATTTAAAATTAGTAATATACGGGTATTTTCTTTACATTTTGGTAAATGTGGATCGTGATGCTGGCACACAATGGCCTACTCTTGCGAATGAAGCCACGGGACTTTTACTGGCCACTGTGAATCAGACGCCGTGAATTTTTATGATCGATACACCCGCAGTAAGAATCAGGGCGGCCGCTGGATTTGAACTGTGAAGCTCTGCAACAAGCCGCGTCACCGTCCAATGTTGATGCCGCACTAAACACTGACATTAAAGTGAGTGAAGCAAGCTGAAGCAATCCCATGGCTCAGATGCCTGGCATTAAAGATAAATATTACCATCATCATCATCAGTGATAATCAGTCCATTGTAAGATGAAGGCCTTTAATGTAACAATCCACTTGTCAACTTCAGGCACATTCCCTACTTCGGCTGTTACTCCGTTGTTAGTCTCAACCACCAGTCATAATCCCTTCTTCCGATGTAACCCGTCATAAGCCCACTATTCTGAAGAACAAAGCTGTTAACTCCCTCGCCCGGTATGCAGGAGGTAATAGGTTCGATCCCGAGCCCGACGCTTTTATATTTGGAGCATGCAAATCTCTCCCCATGGGCGCGTACATTTTTTTCCGGGTCCACCGGTTTTTCCCTCCACGTTTAGAATCCACGAGCGTCTAGAATATTTGTCTGCTATAGATTTCCACGTGATAAGCCACTTCGTTGAGCTATCATTTGTGGCCAGGTCGCTTCTGAAAAAGAGCTATACAGCTCAGTGGGGGCCTTACCTGATAAAACACATTTTTAGGTAATAATTTAACGAAGTGAAAATGTGCCATCGACCGTGTTTTCGGCGGTTTAGCCAGATAGTGCAGCTCTATTACGTGCATACAGCGAGGGAGGGGGGCGAGGGAGGGGGGCGAGGGGCCCTGCCACTCAGTGAGAGATCAACTGGGGCATGTGTAGCGGAGGGAGTTCAGATTAAAGTGCACTTCAAAGGTAATACACTTTGATCTTACCTAGTGAGTAACTATGGAGATAAATGGGGATTAAAAGCCACAATGTTTTTTACATGCAGGAAAACTCATTTGACTATAGTTTCTTATACTCTTTGGTTTTTTCGGTAAGGTCACGTAGTTAGAAATAAAAATAAAACAAATCACGACGTTACGATTGCAACACAAGCAGTCGTCATCAGGCAAAGGAGTCGGCCTCTAAAGGCAAACTGTTTATAAAGGTTTGGGGATGGGCCTAGCCCAAGTGTGTCAACAGCACCAAGAGCATGGGCGGTGCACGAGTGCCAATGCAGCAACAATGCCAATGCAGCAACAATGCCAATGTAGCAGCAATGCCAATGCAGTGGGCGAGAGAGCTGCCGTGGGCGAGAGAGCTGCCGTGGCAAGAGGTTATATAGGTAAGAAATTCTCCATTACAGTGTAATTATTCACATATACATGCATTCGCTTTTATCTGTGGTATGCATGAAACATTGCAGTTCATCTTGCCGGCAAGCAAGATTCTTGAGAACTGCTTTTTGTGTTTAGTTTGTTGTTCTTCCCCCGCACCTCAAATTAGCACGGTTGGCTACGTACGGTGCAAAAGAAGTTCAACAAATATACATACACAGACGTTGTTGTGCGGGCAGACAGCCCGCGGCAAGCAATGGCTGCGGTTACTCTGCAGAGACCACGCAGAGCCGCAAGCACGATAGCGGCGTGGCCTGCGCCAATACGCACCTTCAATATGTAGCAGAATTCCGAGTTGAGTAGACCTGCGTCCGTATTCACTTGAATGGACCTACAGCGGGACACATAATTATTGACGACAATTTCACCTAACCAACCGGCCTTCTTATCATCTTCTCTTTCTCAGCCACAAGTCCCACTGCTGCATGGGAAACAGCTGCTCGGGTTTTCTCTCCCCGTGAGCTTCTATTCTGCACCTCTTCTCTCATACACTGAGAGTGTCATGCTGCCAGCTATGGCTGTAAATTTGGTCGTACGTGTATATCGTTTATTGTTACATTTTGAATCACAGTTCCTATGATTACTGTTGTTACATTGTTTTTATATATTTATTTTGGTAATTCGAAAACATATGGTTAATCTAAATTGTATCATGGTTGTTATTGTTGGCTTGCACCACATTGGGATTTTTACACACAGCGTTTTAAAACATTTTTTTATATTTGCTGGTTTATTACAGGATGTTTCTGTTACGCGTTGTCGCTTTAAGATGTTCTGTGTTCATGTTTTGTTTGTTGCGGTTGCACCAGACTTAAGAGCCACATGGCTCACAGGGCTATACCTAATAAATGAACTTGAACTTGAATCATCACATGCACCGTCCCCGTTTCTCTTTCCACTGCCTCCTCCCATCCCCTGCCCGCCTCGGGCTCCCTCTGCTCCCTCCACCGGTGGCATCTCGACAGCCCTTCTCATTGCGTCATCTCTGCCTCTTCTCAACACGTGCCCAAGTGTGAGTCTCACCCCCCTGACCTTCTTGAGAATATTTAGTAATCACTACTGAATTCCTGCTTGCCTTTAGAGGTATTGCCGACATTCATCTCATAATTATCATCTCCGTCCTTTAAGCACCCACTCAATCTTCATTCTTTCCTAATAACGACATCTCTGCACCCTCAAGCAGCACCGGCGGCATTTTTCTGTTTAGTTTTACTGGGATCTTTCTATCACGTATATTATAATACATCAAACCACTGTATTCTGTGCTCCTTCAATAGAGGAAGAGCAAAACTACGCAAACTCTCACGCGTAAAGCCCTCTCGACTTTTGGCATTTAAGCTCCTGAACACATTGGCCTACGTAATAACAGAATCGAGTACAATTCCACTTACACCTAACAGCAACCTCCACCCCTTTCCCTAATCTCCAGCCAACCTGCCTCATCTGAAGCCACCTACGCTGCAGCAGCAGCACGCGCAAGAGGCAGCGTGGGCAGGCGGGTGGGCGAGGGTACCGTGTGCACAGCGCGCTGCCGTTGGTGCGCAGGTGGAAGAGGCTGGGCTGCAGAGCGTTCTCCGTGGCGCGCCGCTTGCCCCTGTGGATAAGGAACTTGCGCTTGAAGTGCGACAGGAACTTGAGGTTCTCCTGCTGCTGGGTCATGCGCACCACCTGCACTCATCACGACGCACGCACGGGCACAAGCGCATTGCTGAGCCGCCACTTGAGCCGGCACGAGTCCGTGGGAAGCGGCGACGCAGCGGGAGTGGCGGTATGGTGGTTTGACCGATGTACTGTCCTTCTCAGACAACCTCCGGTCAACTTAATAGATTGTCGTTGTTGGCGATGATGAACTGAACGTGCGTTGCGTCCTCGACCAATGCATTTCAATTCTCCTACAGCAATAATAACTATTATTGCGTCAATGTATTTTTGAAACGGAAAATTCCCATGTTAAAATCATAATTTAGATCATTCACAGCAGCCGCACCTTAACAACTCTGGTACCTCCCAGTTCAACCAGTCTACACAACAAAGGTTCATTCCTAGCAGCGGCTTCAGCCGCACCAACCTCACAATAATAATAATACAAAACTCCGATCCAGGTGCCTGCCTTGGCTCCTCCCACCCTCAACCAGTATATATACAGTGATACCTCGGTTCACGAACTTAATTCGTGAACTGACTCTGGTCGCGAACCGAATTGGTCATGAACCGAGGCACATTTTCCCATAGGGTTCAATGTAAATCCGGTTAATCCGTTCTGACCTTTTTTTTGGTTTTTGAAGCACAAAAATATGAAACAAATTACAATACACATTAGTACTGTACAGTATAGTAATGTATAAAGAGAGAACACTAACCTTGCTTGAGATGACTTCAGTAAGCACTCAAACGGGTGAACTGTACAATACAGTAAGTACAGTATTGTACAGTACAGTAGTACAGTACAGTACCAAAAAGCAAAAAGTCACTGAAAGTGTCTTCACAGTACTTCTTTCTGTGTCTCTTCTTCTCTCCACGATCTTCCTACAGGAAGTCACGACCATGTGACAGCCTGGAAATAGCATTAAAATGGCCGCGGCTCCTGTTCGTGAACTGAAGCGGAGTTCGTGAACCGGAGCATATTTTTATGAACTTTTCTGTTCGTGAACTGAGTTGTTCGTGAACAGAAGCGTTCGTGAACCGAGGTATCACTGTACAAGGACGGGTCCTCTTGGAATTTCTCTTACTTGATACAGCAATCGTGCTGTGACGGTTCCACCTGAAGACGGAAGCTTGTGTTGCCTCCGAAATGTCGTGATTTTTTATTTTATTTTACTTTTTATTAATTTAAATTGTTTACCTACGTGACTTTACCGAAAAAACCTAAGAATATCATTCATCAAGCTGCTGCAAGGGAGAACCATAACATGTCGATTCCCCTAAGAGAGGCCGGCCGAACACCCCAAGGAGATTTCGATTTAAAGCTTTCGTGACTGCAGGGATTCATCTTCTTGGTTTTTCGGTAAAGTCACGTAGAAGGGAAGTAATAAAATAATAAAAATAAAACATAATAAAACAATTCTCACGACGTTTCGGCCACAACGCAAGCAGCCGTCCTCAGGTGAAAACCAGGTCCGTCGAGGCGACAGAGTCTGAATGAAACAGCACACGGGCTTAGAGCATTGACAAAGGAATTTGCATATCAACAGGAATTTAGCATATTTATGGGAAATGCAGGAATGTAATTAGTACTGCATATGCATGTGCATTATGCAGGATTAACAGCATCAAAGGGAGCTGCAGTTACTGCTGCTGCAGCAGTTGCTGCTGCTGCTGCAGTTTCTGCTGCTGCTGCAGTTGCTGCTGCACTTGCTGCAGTTGCTGCTGCACTTGCTGCTGCTGCTGCACTTGCTGCTGCTGCTGCACTTGCTGCTGCTGCACTTGCTACTGCTGCTGCAGTTGCTGCCTTATCCATTTTAATATAACACTATGTATTATTCTACCCACCCTAATGTGTATCATACTGCTATATGTTTACTGTACAATTACGACACCATACATTACTCTGCACACTGCACCATGCCAGTGAGTGGAACGCGGTCTGAAAGTCACCGTTAACGTGAACACAATCAGTTAAGATCCGAAATGGTTTATTACGTCCTTCCAATGATTGCTAAGCCAGAATCCATCTTCTCGGTTGAAATTGTCTCTGTGTTTGTATATGTAGATCGCCTCATGAACGAATCTCTCATGATAGCCAGATGGCTTGCAGAGAACCTCTGTCTTGGAGAAGTCAATGTCATGTGAGCCCACTGAATTGTAACAGTGATCTGCCACGGCTGAGGTGTTTGTCCTACCGTGTTTCAGGTCTGCCTTATGTTCACGGATGCGGTCCGAGACATGTCGTTTGGTTTCTCCAATGTAACTGCTACCACAGAGGCAACTTAGTTTGTAGACGCCAGGGTACTGTATGTCTGGAACCACATCTTTTACAGACGGGACCAGATCACGGATTTTATGTACTGTGTTGAATCGGACCTGGATCTTGTGTTTAATCAGGATTTTGGAGATCTGTTTTGTGACCCCAGCAATGTAGGGTAAGGTGATGGTCTTGAAAGGCTCCTCAACAGGATCCTTCTTGATGGTTGGAGTGATGGCTTTGCGGATTGTGTAGTCGGAGTAACCATTAGCCTTAAGAGCTTGGCGTACGTGTTTGAGTTCACTGGAAATGTGTTCATGGTCGGAGATGCATTGGGCTCTATGATATAGAGTCTTGATGAGGGAATTCTTCTGGGATGGATGGTGGTGGGAATCCGGTTTTAGATAAGCATCCGTGTGGGTGGCTTTCCTGTAGACAGAGTGGCTCATTGAACCATCAGGTCTCCTTTTGATTAGGACATCCAAAAAGGGTAGCTTGCCATCATTTTCGACTTCCATGGTGAATCTGATGGCTGGGTGTATGGAATTGATGTGGTCGAGAAATTGGTCTAGAGCAGGCCGGCCATGTGGCCAGATGACAAAAGTGTCGTCTACGTACCTCTTCCATAAGGTCGGGCGTAGAGTGGCAGTCTGGATGGCGTCCGTCTCAAATTTCTCCATGAAGATGTTGGCTACAACCGGAGATAGGGGGGAGCCCATTGGGATGCCCTCAATTTGCTTGTAGAAGGTTCCATTCCAGGTGAAGTATGTATTGGTTAAGCAGTGTCTCACCAGGGGGGGTACCCCAGCATTCAGTCCTTGATGAACCAAGTCTTCAATGATTGCGATGGTGTCAGGCACAGGCACCTTGGTGAACAAGGAAACCACATCAAAACTGACAAGCAGGTCGTCTGGGGACAGGGCAATCCCCTTGATTGTCGATACCAGGTCAGTAGAGTTTAGTACTGCAGAGGTGGTTTTTCCAGTGAAAGGCCGTAGGATTTCGGACAAAAAACGAGCCAGTTTGTAAGTGGGGGAGTTGATAGTAGAGACAATGGGACGAAGAGGTGTATCTTCTTTATGTATCTTTGGCAAGCCGTACAATCTTGGTGGCCTGGCTGCAGAAGGTTTCAACGAGAACTGTTTGGTCTGATCAATTAATGCGGTTGAAGCAGAAATGATGTTGTTGGTTTTGGAGACGAGGCTGTTGGTGGGGTCTCTTTTTATTTTTGTATAGCTGCCATTGAGCTAATTCAAAACGCGTTTTGAATTAGCTCAATTAAAAAAGAGGGATGACATTGTCATCCTCTCAGCCGACAAAGGCAATGCCACTGTCATCATGGACAAAATAGAATACAACAACAAAATTCAAGAACTACTCAACGATGGCAGCTATACAAAAATAAAAAGAGACCCCACCAACAGCCTCGTCTCCAAAACCAACAACATCATTTCTGCTTCAACCGCATTAATTGATCAGACCAAACAGTTCTCGTTGAAACCTTCTGCAGCCAGGCCACCAAGATTGTACGGCTTGCCAAAGATACATAAAGAAGATACACCTCTTCGTCCCATTGTCTCTACTATCAACTCCCCCACTTACAAACTGGCTCGTTTTTTGTCCGAAATCCTACGGCCTTTCACTGGAAAAACCACCTCTGCAGTACTAAACTCTACTGACCTGGTATCGACAATCAAGGGGATTGCCCTGTCCCCAGACGACCTGCTTGTCAGTTTTGATGTGGTTTCCTTGTTCACCAAGGTGCCTGTGCCTGACACCATCGCAATCATTGAAGACTTGGTTCATCAAGGACTGAATGCTGGGGTACCCCCCCTGGTGAGACACTGCTTAACCAATACATACTTCACCTGGAATGGAACCTTCCACAAGCAAATTGAGGGCACCCCAATGGGCTCCCCCCTATCTCCGGTTGTAGCCAACATCTTCATGGAGAAATTTGAGACGGACGCCATCCAGACTGCCACTCTACGCCCGACCTTATGGAAGAGGTACGTAGACGACACTTTTGTCATCTGGCCACATGGCCGGCCTGCTCTAGACCAATTTCTCGACCACATCAATTCCATACACCCCGCCATCAGATTCACCATGGAAGTCGAAAATGATGGCAAGCTACCCTTTTTGGATGTCCTAATCAAAAGGAGACCTGATGGTTCAATGAGCCACTCTGTCTACAGGAAAGCCACCCACACGGATGCTTATCTAAAACCGGATTCCCACCACCATCCATCCCAGAAGAATTCCCTCATCAAGACTCTATATCATAGAGCCCAATGCATCTCCGACCATGAACACATTTCCAGTGAACTCAAACACGTACGCCAAGCTCTTAAGGCTAATGGTTACTCCGACTACACAATCCGCAAAGCCATCACTCCAACCATCAAGAAGGATCCTGTTGAGGAGCCTTTCAAGACCATCACCTTACCCTACATTGCTGGGGTCACAAAAAAGATCTCCAAAATCCTGATTAAACACAAGATCCAGGTCCGATTCAACACAGTACATAAAATCCGTGATCTGGTCCCGTCTGTAAAAGATGTGGTTCCAGACATACAGTACCCTGGCGTCTACAAACTAAGTTGCCTCTGTGGTAGCAGTTACATTGGAGAAACCAAACGACATGTCTCGGACCGCATCCGTGAACATAAGGCAGACCTGAAACACGGTAGGACAAACACCTCAGCCGTGGCAGATCACTGTTACAATTCAGTGGGCTCACATGACATTGACTTCTCCAAGACAGAGGTTCTCTGCAAGCCATCTGGCTATCATGAGAGATTCGTTCATGAGGCGATCCACATATACAAACACAGAGACAATTTCAACCGAGAAGATGGATTCTGGCTTAGCAATCATTGGAAGGACGTAATAAACCATTTCGGATCTTAACTGATTGTGTTCACGTTTACGGTGACTTTCAGACCGCGTTCCACTCACTGACATGGTGCAGTGTGCAGAGTAATGTATGGTGTCGTAATTGTACAGTAAACATATAGCAGTATGATACACATTAGGGTGGGTAGAATAATACATAGTGTTATATTAAAATGGATAAGGCAGCAACTGCAGCAGCAGTAGCAAGTGCAGCAGCAGCAGCAAGTGCAGCAGCAGCAGCAAGTGCAGCAGCAGCAGCAAGTGCAGCAGCAGCAGCAAGTGCAGCAGCAGCAGCAACTGCAGCAGCAGCAGAAACTGCAGCAGCAGCAGCAACTGCTGCAGCAGCAGTAACTGCAGCTCCCTTTGATGCTGTTAATCCTGCATAATGCACATGCATATGCAGTACTAATTACATTCCTGCATTTCCCATAAATATGCTAAATTCCTGTTGATATGCAAATTCCTTTGTCAATGCGCCCAGCTTATATATATGCTCTAAGCCCGTGTGCTGTTTCATTCAGACTCTGTCGCCTCGACGGACCTGGTTTTCACCTGAGGACGGCTGCTTGCGTTGTGGCCGAAACGTCGTGAGAATTGTTTTATTATGTTTTATTTTTATTATTTTATTACTTCCCTTCTACGTGACTTTACCGAAAGAACCAAGAAGATGAACCCCAAGGAGAGTTGACGGGGACATTTGCTTCACCTCCATCTTTTTGCCGGGGAAGAGACTCTCGAACTTCTTCTGCAGGCTGAAGGTGAAGGTGAGCCAGCCCATGTTAGAGGCCTCGCGGCCCTGCCAGAAGTAGACGACGGACTGCAGGTCCTCCTCCATCTGGCTGTCCTGCTCCCCCGCCGCCTCCTCCTCCTCCTCCGCCCCATCCTCAGCGCGCTCCAGCGGCACCCAGTACCTTGAGGACAAGGAAAAGAACAACGATGCCTGTCTTTTTTTTAATGAACCAACGTCAGCGGTCACATCGGAAGGCACACGATGCCTTGGTTTAGCATCAGAGTGCCGGGGTACATTCTGTGGCAGAGCATCTATCGCATGACGGGCGTGGTTCACGAGAGCCAGTTGTGTTCAGCACCATGTCGCACAAATGTGTCAAGTCTTGACATTCACACAAGCTGTGATACCAAGTTTAAATACTGATTGCACCAGATATTGTGCATATGAACCTAGAATCATAACTGGCTATGGGGTGGGGTGCTAACCACGACACCAGTACTTTCTGCTGATATAGCAGTTAATGAAACAAAAGCGAGATGCACCTGTACATGTACGCTGTTGTGCAGGTGTGTAGTGGTCAGCATTTGTTATTATTTTTCTGTGGTAGGAATAAAACATTGCAGCTCCTGTTGCAGTTCCAGGTAGTGTAGTGGTTCGGATGCTGCGCTATGAACCCGGCGACCCGAGTTCGATTACCGCTCACGGCCAATACCATTGACGATTATCTGAACTGGTCCTGGGCCTCCCCTAGGTCGACTCAGCCTCAAATGAATACCTGGTGTGGTGTGTTAACATCGCCACTGGGGAGACAAAGGCGGCCAGGCGTGGTGCTGGCTACCCACTGCCCCTCGTGTACCGTGCCAGCCTTCATAGGTGCTCGCTAACAGAATTTGCCTCAAAAGTTGGTTGAAGCTTTACAGGGGATCTTTGTCTTTGCAGGCGCAAAAATGGATGTCTTGTGCACTTGTGTGTGTGGCTTTGCCCGTGTCTCCGTACCGGCACAGGAAGACATAGCAGTCGTGTGTGTGGAAGTGGCCAAACTCTTCGTCGGGTAGACGCACAAACTTCCTGCCCTCCAACACAAACGACTCCATTCCCTCCAGGTCCTCATTCCACTCGTCCATCAGCGTCTCAGCCTGAGGACAGCACAGCATTGTCAACTCGGTTACGGTGACCGCAACACGATTACTGCTCTTATTACAGCATCGCACAAAGGTCGGTGCGGCACACATTCAATAACTATGCCGCTGTACGTGCCAAAGTACTACACGTAAGACAGCCCCACAAAAACACCCACCTTGAATGTAAGGTTTACATTATACAGCCTCTACTCACTAACAACACAGTGTCGTACACGTGCAGACAACAAACGTGCACAACACGTCAAAGCGTCACACACAGTCGCATGGGAAGTTGGCGTGGGTAGAGGAATGAGAGTGTGCGAGTGAGTCAGTGTGGTGGGTGTGGGTAGAGGAGTGAGAGTGTGCGAGTGAGTCAGTGTGGTTGGCGTGAGTAGAGGGAGTGAGAGTGTGAGAGTGAGTCAGTGTGGGTAGAGGAATGAGAGTGTGCGAGTGAGTCAGTGTGGTGGGTGTGGGTAGAGGAGTGAGAGTGTGCGAGTGAGTCAGTGTGGTTGGCGTGAGTAGAGGGAGTGAGAGTGTGAGAGTGAGTCAGTGTGGGTAGAGGAGTGAGAGTGTGCGAGTGAGTGAGTGTGGTGGGTGTGGGTAGAGGAGTGAGAGTGTGAGAGTGAGTCAGTGTGGGTAGAGGAGTGAGAGTGTGCGAGTGAGTCAGTGTGGTGGGTGTGGGTAGAGGAGTGAGAGTGTGATAGTGAGTCAGTGTGGGTAGAGGAGTGAGAGTGTGGGAGTGTGTCAGTGTGGTTGGTGTGAGTAGAGGGAGTGAGAGTGTGAGAGTGAGTCAGTGTGGTTGGTGTGGGTAGAGGAGTGTGAGTGTGCGAGTGAATCAGTGTGGTTGGAGTGGGTAGAGGAGTGTGAGTGTGCGAGTGAATCAGTGTGGTGGGTGTGGGTAGAGGACTGAGAGTGTGAGAGTGAGTTAGTGTGGTGGGTGTGGGTAAAGGAGTGTGAGTGTGAGTCAGTGTGGTTGGAGTGTGTAGAGGGAGTGAGAGTGTGCGAGTGAGTCAGTGTGGTGGGTGTGGGTAGAGGAGTGTGCGAGTGAGTTAGTGTGGTGGGTGTGGGTAGAGGAGTGAGAGTGTGAGAGTGAGTCAGTGTGGTTGGTATATGTAGAGGAGTGTGAGTGTGAGAGTGAGTGTGGTGGGTGTGCGTAGAGGAGTGAGAGTGTGAGAGTGAGTTAGTGTGGGTAGAGGAGTGAGAGTGTGAGAGTGAGTCAGTGTGGTGGGTGTGGGTAGAGGAGTGAGAGTGAGTCAGTGTGGTTGGTGTGAGTAGAGGAGTGTGAGTGTGCAAGTGAGTCAGTGTGGGTGGTGTGTGTAGAGGAGTGAGAGTGTGAGAGTGAGTCAGTGTGGTGGGTGTGGGTAGAGGAGTGAGAGTGTGAGAGTGAGTCAGTGTGATTGGTGTGGGTAGAGGAGTGTGAGTGTGAGTCAGTGTGGGTAGAGGAGTGAGAGTGTGAGAGTGAGTCAGTGTGGTGGGTGTGGGTAGAGGAGTGAGAGTGTGAGAGTGAGTCAGTGTGATTGGTGTGGGTAGAGGAGTGTGAGTGTGAGAGTGAGTCAGTGTGGTGGGTGTGGGTAGAGGAGTGAGAGTGTGAGAGTGAGTCAGTGTGGTGGGTGTGGGTAGAGGAGTGAGAGTGAGTCAGTGTGGGTAGAGGAGTGAGAGTGTGAGAGTGAGTCAGTGTGGTGGGTGTGGGTAGAGGAGTGTGCGAGTGAGTTAGTGTGGTGGGTGTGGGTAGAGGAGTGAGAGTGTGAGAGTGAGTCAGTGTGGTTGGTATATGTAGAGGAGTGTGAGTGTGAGTGTGGTGGGTGTGCGTAGAGGAGTGAGAGTGTGAGAGTGAGTTAGTGTGGGTAGAGGAGTGAGAGTGTGAGAGTGAGTCAGTGTGGTGGGTGTGGGTAGAGGAGTGAGAGTGAGTCAGTGTGGCTGGTGTGAGTAGAGGAGTGTGAGTGTGCAAGTGAGTCAGTGTGGGTGGTGTGTGTAGAGGAGTGAGAGTGTGAGAGTGAGTCAGTGTGGTGGGTGTGGGTAGAGGAGTGAGAGTGTGAGAGTGAGTCAGTGTGATTGGTGTGGGTAGAGGAGTGTGAGTGTGAGTCAGTGTGGGTAGAGGAGTGAGAGTGTGAGAGTGAGTCAGTGTGGTGGGTGTGGGTAGAGGAGTGAGAGTGTGAGAGTGAGTCAGTGTGATTGGTGTGGGTAGAGGAGTGTGAGTGTGAGAGTGAGTCAGTGTGGTGGGTGTGGGTAGAGGAGTGAGAGTGTGAGAGTGAGTCAGTGGGGTGGGTGTGGGTAGAGGAGTGAGGGTGAGTCAGTGTGGGTAGAGGAGTGAGAGTGTGAGAGTGAGTCAGTGTGGTGGGTGTGGGTAGAGGAGTGTGCGAGTGAGTTAGTGTGGTGGGTGTGGGTAGAGGAGTGAGAGTGTGAGAGTGAGTCAGTGTGGTTGGTATATGTAGAGGAGTGTGAGTGTGAGTGTGGTGGGTGTGCGTAGAGGAGTGAGAGTGAGTTAGTGTGGGTAGAGGAGTGAGAGTGTGAGAGTGAGTCAGTGTGGTGGGTGTGGGTAGAGGAGTGAGAGTGAGTCAGTGTGGTTGGTGTGAGTAGAGGAGTGTGAGTGTGCAAGTGAGTCAGTGTGGGTGGTGTGTGTAGAGGAGTGAGAGTGTGAGAGTGAGTCAGTGTGGTGGGTGTGGGTAGAGGAGTGAGAGTGTGAGAGTGAGTCAGTGTGATTGGTGTGGGTAGAGGAGTGTGAGTGTGAGTCAGTGTGGGTAGAGGAGTGAGAGTGTGAGAGTGAGTCAGTGTGGTGGGTGTGGGTAGAGGAGTGAGAGTGTGAGAGTGAGTCAGTGTGATTGGTGTGGGTAGAGGAGTGTGAGTGTGAGAGTGAGTCAGTGTGGTGGGTGTGGGTAGAGGAGTGAGAGTGTGAGAGTGAGTCAGTGTGGTGGGTGTGGGTAGAGGAGTGAGAGTGAGTCAGTGTGGGTAGAGGAGTGAGAGTGTGAGAGTGAGTCAGTGTGGTGGGTGTGGGTAGAGGAGTGTGCGAGTGAGTTAGTGTGGTGGGTGTGGGTAGAGGAGTGAGAGTGTGAGAGTGAGTCAGTGTGGTTGGTATATGTAGAGGAGTGTGAGTGTGAGTGTGGTGGGTGTGCGTAGAGGAGTGAGAGTGAGTTAGTGTGGGTAGAGGAGTGAGAGTGTGAGAGTGAGTCAGTGTGGTGGGTGTGGGTAGAGGAGTGAGAGTGAGTCAGTGTGGTTGGTGTGAGTAGAGGAGTGTGAGTGTGCAAGTGAGTCAGTGTGGGTGGTGTGTGTAGAGGAGTGAGAGTGTGAGAGTGAGTCAGTGTGGTGGGTGTGGGTAGAGGAGTGAGAGTGTGAGAGTGAGTCAGTGTGATTGGTGTGGGTAGAGGAGTGTGAGTGTGAGTCAGTGTGGGTAGAGGAGTGAGAGTGTGAGAGTGAGTCAGTGTGGTGGGTGTGGGTAGAGGAGTGAGAGTGTGAGAGTGAGTCAGTGTGATTGGTGTGGGTAGAGGAGTGTGAGTGTGAGAGTGAGTCAGTGTGGTGGGTGTGGGTAGAGGAGTGAGAGTGTGAGAGTGAGTCAGTGTGGTGGGTGTGGGTAGAGGAGTGAGAGTGAGTCAGTGTGGGTAGAGGAGTGAGAGTGTGAGAGTGAGTCAGTGTGGTGGGTGTGGGTAGAAGAGTGTGAGTGTGCGACTGAGTCAGTGTGGTTGATGTGGGTAGGAGTGAGAGTGTGAGAGTGAGTCAGTGTGATTGGTGTGGGTAGAGGAGGGTGAGTGTGAGAGTGAGTCAGTGTGGTGGGTGTGCGTAGAGGAGTGAGAGTGTGCAGGTGAGTCAGTGTGGTTGGCGTGAGTAGAGGAGTGTGAGTGTGCGAGTGAGTCAGTGTGGTGGGTAGAGGAGTGTGAGTGTGAGTCAGTGTGGTTGGAGTGTGTAGAGGGAGTGAGAGTGTGCGAGTGAGTCAGTGTGGTGGGTGTGGGTAGAGGAGTGTGCGAGTGAGTTAGTGTGGTGGGTGTGGGTAGAGGAGTGAGAGTGTGAGAGTGAGTCAGTGTGGTTGGTATATGTAGAGGAGTGTGAGTGTGAGAGTGAGTGTGGTGGGTGTGCGTAGAGGAGTGAGAGTGTGAGAGTGAGTCAGTGTGGTGGGTGTGGGTAGAGGAGTGAGAGTGTGAGAGTGAGTCAGTGTGATTGGTGTGGGTAGAGGAGTGTGAGTGTGAGAGTGAGTCAGTGTGGTGGGTGTGGGTAGAGGAGTGAGAGTGTGAGAGTGAGTCAGTGTGGTGGGTGTGGGTAGAGGAGTGAGAGTGAGTCAGTGTGGGTAGAGGAGTGAGAGTGTGAGAGTGAGTCAGTGTGGTGGGTGTGGGTAGAGGAGTGTGCGAGTGAGTTAGTGTGGTGGGTGTGGGTAGAGGAGTGAGAGTGAGTCAGTGTGGTTGGTGTGGGTAGAGGAGTGAGAGTGTGAGTCAGTGTGGGTAGAGGAGTGAGAGTGTGAGAGTGAGTCAGTGTGGTGGGTGTGGGTAGAGGAGTGAGAGTGTGAGAGGGAGTCAGTGTGATTGGTGTGGGTAGAGGAGTGTGAGTGTGAGAGTGAGTCAGTGTGGTGGGTGTGGGTAGAGGAGTGAGAGTGTGAGAGTGAGTCAGTGTGGTGGGTGTGGGTAGAGGAGTGAGAGTGAGTCAGTGTGGGTAGAGGAGTGAGAGTGTGAGAGTGAGTCAGTGTGGTGGGTGTGGGTAGAGGAGTGTGCGAGTGAGTTAGTGTGGTGGGTGTGGGTAGAGGAGTGAGAGTGTGAGAGTGAGTCAGTGTGGTTGGTATATGTAGAGGAGTGTGAGTGTGAGTGTGGTGGGTGTGCGTAGAGGAGTGAGAGTGAGTTAGTGTGGGTAGAGGAGTGAGAGTGTGAGAGTGAGTCAGTGTGGTGGGTGTGGGTAGAGGAGTGAGAGTGAGTCAGTGTGGTTGGTGTGGGTAGAGGAGTGAGAGTGTGAGAGTGAGTCAGTGTGATTGGTGTGGGTAGAGGAGTGTGAGTGTGAGAGTGAGTCAGTGTGGTGGGTGTGGGTAGAGGAGTGAGAGTGTG